GACTGTTTTAAAAGATTGAAAGGTTGATGGGTCTTGTTGGATTTTGATGATGCTCTTTTCTTTCCTTAAAATGCAAGTCAGACACCTCCTCTTCAGGTTTAGAGAGACTGGAAATGGTCTACACAGAACGGCAAAACTTAGTGTAATGCAGTCTTAAAGAAGTCATGAACAGAGGAGCTATTTAGGATGTGGCTTAGATTCCTTATAAAAAACTCTGCACTAAATGTTTCTTTCATTAAGGTACTTCATGGCATTAGCAACTACAGTAATATTTTGTGCCTAAGATAGAAAATTGTGTTTTCATATAATTTCCTAGTTCTGAAGAGGCAAAGCAGACCTAAAGTACTATACACCTTCATGTTACCTTTCCCATGTTGTGCATTCGCCACTGTTTTCTCCTCTATGTCTCCCTGTGTCAGTTCTGTCTTCTCATCCTTTTCGTCCTGTCTCACTTGTGTCCTCTCCTCCTTGTCTTTCTGTGTTATGTTTGCAGAACCCCCTGTGTCTGTATCTGCCTCCTTCAGATCCTCTTGTGCTTCATTTATTTTTGTCTTTGAGTCATCCTGATTCCATTTGTCAAAAAACTCTGCTTTTTTTAAAACATGTCCTGGATTGCACAATGAGACAACATACAGTAAATTTTAAACTGTTGAAAATGTAAATTTTCCAGTTTCATTTTTACTAGAATGTCTCCTGTCTAAAACCCTGTAAACAATAAGGAAAGAGAACAATATACTGTACACCTATGTACAACCTTTGTAAGGGACAACTGCTCTTGTTTAACAATCATGTGATCTAACGCTAACGTTCAATTACTATTCATCATAAAATGAATTTCATAACCTCAATTTTGTGATTTTTGTGTTTTTGTGATTCTTGTGATTTTCGTGAGCTCGCAGAAAAGACATTTCATTGCCAGCAACTACTGCTGAATGCTGTATTGTTGTGCATTTGATAAATAAACTTTGATTTTATTTTATTTGATAGTGACTGTTTTAAAAGATTGAAAGGTTGATGGGTCTTGTTGGATTTTGATGCTCTTTTCTTTCCTTAAAATGCATGTCAGACACCTCCTCTTCAGGTTTAGAGAGTGGTCTACACAGAAGGGCAAAACGTAGTGTAATGCAGTCTTAAAGAAGTCATGTACAGAGGAGCTATTAGGATGTGGCTTAAATTCCTTATAAAAAATCTGCACTAAATGTTTCTTTCATTAAGGTACTTCAAGGCATTAGCAACTACAGTAACATTTTGTGCATAGAATAGAAAATTGTGTTTTTATATAATTTCCTAGTCCTGAAGAGGCAAAGCGGACCTACTGTACTGTACATCTTCATGTTACCTTTCTCATGTTGTGTATTCTCTGCTGTCTCCTCCTCCATGTCTCCCTGTGTCAGTTCTGTCTTCTCATCCTTTTCGTCCTGTGTCACTTGTATCCTCTCCTCTTGGTCTTTCTGTGTTATGTTTGCAGATCCCCCTGTGTCTGTATCTGCCTCCTCCAGATCCTCTTGTGCTTCATTTATTTTTGGCTTTGCGTCATCCTGATTCCGTTTGTCAAAAAACTCTGCTTTTTTTAAAACATGTCCTGGATTGCACAATGAGACAACATGCAATAAATTCTAAACTGTTGAAAATGTAAATTTTTCCAGTTTCTTCATTTTTACTAGAATGTGTCTCCTGTCTAAAACCCTGTAAATAATAAGGAAAGAGAACAATATACTGTACACCTATGTACAACCTTTGTAAGGGACAACTACTCTTGTTTAACAATCATGTGATCTAACGCTAATGTTCAATTACTCTTCATCGTAAAATGATTTTCATAACCTCAATTTTGTGATTTTTGTGTTTTTGTGATTCTTATGATTTTTGTGAGGTCACAGAAAAGACATTTCATTGCCAGCAACTACTGCTGAATGCTGTATTGTTGTGCATTTGATAAATAAACTTTGCTTTCATTTGATTTGATAGTGACTGTTTTAAAAGATTGAAAGGTTGATGGGTCTTGTTGGATTTTGATGCTCTTTTCTTTCCTTAAAATGCATGTCAGACACCTCCTCTTCAGGTTTAGAGAGTGGTCTACACAGAAGGGCAAAACGTAGTGTAATGCAGTCTTAAAGAAGTCATGTACAGAGGAGCTATTAGGATGTGGCTTTTTCATTAAGGTACTTCATGGCATTTGCAAAAGAGTGATATGTTGTGCCTAGAATAGGACATTGTGTTTTCATATTATTTCCTAGACCTGCAGAGGCAAAGCAGACCTACTATACACCTTCATGTTACCTTTCTCATGTTGTGCAGCTAGACATAATAGGTTTGGTGACTGCATGGGGATTTCTATATCCAGAGACAGTCAAAATTATTTCTCCAGTGATTCCTGATTAATTTGCAGAGGGCTCTTATTCACTTTCCCCTCTTGTGTCAAAGGAGTATAGCAGTGTTCACTGTATAATCTGCTTTCATCAGTTCAAAATCATACCTTGTTTTTCCACTTCATCATGTTATTAGTACATCACCTTTAACAGTCATTTCAGATCATGTCCAGATTGCAAAACTCTACAATAATCTGTGGTGTACACTCAAATGGAGAGATTAAGCATTTAATTCCCATCCTGTTGGCTTGTCACTATGCCTGGACATTTCCTTAATATATGAATTCATTTTTTAAACCAAAACTAATGATGGAATACAAAATAAGCACATTTACAGTATATATACGGTGGGTATAGAAAGTCACCACCCCCTTTCAAAATGTTCACCTTTTGTTGCCCTAAAGCCCAAAAAGAAGACAAATAAAATCAGACTTTTCCACTTTTATTTACAAATTCTACCTTGCAACATCCACGTGAAAAAAGAAAGCAAAATTTCTGAAAAAAAAATAACTGGGTTGGATAAAAGAACACCCCCCTGAGTTAATACTTGGTGGAAGCATCTCTTGCTTGAATTACAGCCTAGAGTCTGTTTAGATACATCTCTACCAACTTTGCGCACCTAGAAGGAGGAATATATGCCCATTCATCCTTACAGAATTGTTCAAGTTCATTCAAACTGTGTGGTGACCGTTGATGCACTGCCCTCTTCAAGTCATTCCAAAGATTTTCGATGGGATTTAGGTCGGGGTTCTGACTAGGCCACTTAAGGATATTCACCTTCCTGTCCTTCAGCCACTGTACGGTTGCTTTGGCAGTGTGCTTTGGGTCACTGTCATGTTGAAATATTAATGATCTTCCCACTTTCAACTTCCTGGCTGAGGGCTGCAGGTTTTATTCAATAATTTTTCTGTATTTTGCACCATCCATTTTCCCTTCTATCCTGACAGGTGCCCAGTCCCAGCTGAAGTGAAACAACCCAATAAGAGGATGCTGCCACCACCATGCTTTACTATTGGAATGGTGTTCTTTGGATGGAAAGATACTGCATATTGGCTTTTCGCCAGCCGTACCATTTTGCATTCTTGCGAACAAGTTCAATTTTGGTCTCATCTGACCCAGCACCTTTTGCCACAGGGACACAGAATCTTTAAGGGGCTTTTTAGCAAAACATAAACATGACTTGATGTAGCTTTATTTAAGGAGTGGCTTTTTTCTTGCCACTCTCCCATGCAGGCCAGATTTTTGGAGAGCTTTTGCTATTTTTGTCACATGCACATAATGACCAGTCTTTGCCATAAAGGCCTGCAGCTCGTTTAAATTTGCTATCGGCCTCTTGGTTGCCTTTCTGATCAGTCTCTTTCTTGCTCGGTCATCCAGTTTGGAGGAACGGCCTGATCTATGCAAGGTCTGGGAGTTGCCTTATGCCTTCCATTTTTTAATGATCTTGGACTTGACTGTGCTACATGGGATACTTAAAGCCTTTGAAATATTTTTATACCCATCTCCTGACTTATGCCTTTCTTCAACTTTATCTCAAAGTTATTTTGAAAGCACCTTTTTGCCCATAGGTGTCACGATCGTAAACCCCTCCTCTTAAGGGCGCTCCAGCCCTTCCTTGTTTTTTACTCATCTCCCACACCTGCTCCCTGTTCCAGCCCCCTTTTCAGTTCCCCTTTAAAAGCCAGATGCTGACGCTATTCTGGGCTCTGCAAGTCCGGGACCTGGAAGCGCCTGGTGCCGTTAAGGTTTTAGTTCCTGTTCCCATGCCGGATCTGACCTGCTTCTTGTTTTTAAATCTTGTTTGTCTGGGATGGACTGCCCGGTTTTGGACTTTTGCCTCCGCTTGGATTACCCCTTGGACTTTCTTCTGGATTGTTTGCCTCGGCTACACCTCCCCTGAACACCAGCACACCATGGACACGTCCCCCTGTTTTCATTTATGACTCCTGCATACCTTTTTTCCCCGTGTTTCCTCAGTCTACCCCAAATTTTGTCGTCTGCATAGGGTCCGGAAAGAACGCTTCCTGACAATAGTGGATTCTTTGCTTTGAAATGCATTTCCAAGCAGTGGAATCCTCTCGAAGCAGCTGCTTTTTATTCTGAAATAATCAAAATCACCACAAGTGGTGACAGGTGGGAGGCAATAAGTTTGTTGTGTGATCTGTAGGGTGATTGGTTATACCTGAGCAAGTTCACCAATGCAATTGTAAGGGGGGTGTTCACTTATCCAAATAAGGTATTTCACTGTTGTAATTGTCACGATTGCTAAACCCTCCTCTTAAGGGTGCTCCAGCCCTTCCTTGTTATGCACCATTGTCTGCACCTGGTCCCTAATCCCGCTCCCCCTTAAAAGCCAGACGCGGACCTTACTCCTGGTTCCTCATTGATTTCCACATCATGAGAGCCCGGGGTCTTGCTGCGTCTGGCTCCGTTATGCTTTTATCTTCCTAGTTCCTAGTTCTCCTTGCCAGTTCTGACCCGGTTCCTGTTCCCCCCCCACCGGATGGATCGCCTGGTTATGGACTTCAGCCCTTGTTTTTGATTTCCTGTTTGGATTCCCTACATGGATTGTTTGCCTGGATTCACTTCCCCTGGACACCTGCACTGCATGGACACACCCCCCGTCTCCAGACCCTTTTCCTGCATGACCGTTTTTCCCCTTGTGTCTTCACTATTCTGGATCATGTCGTCCGCATAGGGCCCGGAAAGAACTGTATGTGATAGTAATATTAATTAATTTTCAGAATGTTTTAGAATTATATTTTCACTTGGGTAATGTGGGTTACTGTGTGTAAATAAAAATGGAATACCCCTAATTTAATTTGTTTTAATTTTCAGAGTGTCATACAACAAAAGGTACAAAATTTGAAAAGGGGTGGTGACTTTCTATACCCACTGTAGGAGGGGATGAACAGAGTGGTAGATACTATACAGCAGTTTGAGGTACAGCTGAGGTACAGCTACTGAAAGGAAAGAAACACTTGTCCATTTGTTAATGACTGCATTCTTTTTTCAAGAACCTGGGGTGATAATCCTGGAATATGGAATGTTAAAATTCCTAACCATCACAAAACAGCGGTCTCTGTAAAATGCCTCCCTGGGGCCAGAGTTTCTGACATTGAGGCAAAAATATACAAATTTTCCAGCAATGAGGTCTCCACCTCGGTTGTTCACGCTGGAACTAATGATAAAAAGTACCAACAATCCGAGGTGTTAAAGAGCAACTTCATTTCTATGCACAAAAGAGCACAAAGAAAATGTCAGAATTTAATTGTATCTGGTCCCTTACCGATCCTATACAGAGGGGACGTACCCTATAGTAGGGTATACTCTCTAAATCGCTGGTTAGAGACTTGGTGTGCATCCAATAGAATAACCTTTATTAATAATTGGGACATTTTGGGGGAATGGCCTGGCTTTTATAAACGGGATGGTCTCCACCTTAACCAGAAGTGATAATTAATTCTATCCCAACATACAGCATTGAAGTTGCTTGCTTGACTACTAAGAGCACCACCCAGGCATCAGCCATGTGATCTTAAATCGTGTGCTGTCTGTACTCCCACCTCTAGTTCACCTCCTGTACCAACCCAGTTTCTCTACCACACGGCATCACATCAATCACAGTACTTTTCAGAGCCAGATATGAGTGTGAATAGACAGAGTATTGCAACTATCACAAGACCTAGATTAGAATTCAGACATTCCTTTAGGGGCTCTCCTGTTGACAATTTAATCTCCACTCCACTGGTTAACCTAAATCAGTTAAAACATGAAACAACCATAAAATACTTACTATTAAATGTTTGATTACTAGGCAACAAATCAGTTCTGGTTAATGGTTATGGTGCTTGAGACCAACTCAGACCTGTGCCTACTAACAGAAACCTGGCTTAGGCCCACTGACACTATTCCTTTAGTTGAAGCCTCACCTAATGCCTATACTGTTTTACAGAAAGCTCGTTGGTCAGGGCGTGGAGGTGACCTAGCAGTCATCTTCAGTGAGTCTCTGAGAATTGAATTAAAAACTAGTAATGACTTTCACACATTTGAAGCCATGGTCCTTAAAATAACATCTGAGTTATCTACATACATTATTTTAGTGTACAGACCCCCAGGACCATATGCATTGTTTATTGCCGTATTTGGTGAACTGCTCTCTGATTTAGTTATTTACTTAGACAAAGTTGTAATATTAGGTGACTTTCACATACATATGGACAGACAGACAGACACCTTCAGTAAAAAATTCTTGTGTCTCCTTGACTCTGTAGGTTGTAGTCAGCAAATAACAGGACCAACACACATGTTACATATAACAGGACCAGCAGCCATATCACTCTGCAACTCACAATTGGCAACCTACTGAAGTTAAGCAGGTGTGAGCCTGGTCAGTACCTGGATGGGAGACCTCCTGGGAAAAACTAAGGTTGCTGCTGGAAGAGGAGTTAGTGGGGCCAGCAGGGGGCGCTCACCCTGTGGTCCATGTGGGTCCTAATGCCCCAGTATAGTGATGGGGACACTATACTCTAAAACAGGCGCCGTCCTTCGGATGAGACATAAAACCGAGGTCCTGACTCTCTGTGGTCATTAAAAATCCCAGGGTGTTTCTCAAGAAGAGTAGGGGTGTAACCCCGGCATCCTGGCCAAATTTCCCATTGGCCCTTACCAATCATGGACTCCTAATAATCCCCATCTATGAATTGGCTTCATAACTCTGCTCTCCTCCCCACTGTACTGATAGGACTACTATAACTTCAGCACTTAACTCAGAGCATTTAAATGCTCAGCACGTAACCTATGCGTCATATTAGACACTAGGCTCTCATTTAACTCTCATGTTAAAACAGTATCGAAAACATCCTTCCTACAGTTAAGAAATATTGCAAAACTAAGGCAGTTTCTCTCCATTCAGGACACAGAGAAAT